TAAAATTTTCTTATATATATATATATATAATTTTCTGTAGTTTAACTTTGTACCTGTTTATAAATTAAATTGTGTCAATGATAAAAATACAAATATTCTAAAGACATAAAAAAATTTCTTCTAGATTCTCTAAAATACGGATGAAATATCTTTCTGTTATTTGGCATAGAGAATAAACTTAAAATATGTTTACATTGTATTCCAAATAAATAATCATATATTTGAAAGCTTGTATCTTGGTAATATATTTGTTCTTTTTAAAGCATATCTTTGAACAGGCGTGGTCTGTGTCATTAATATTTTATTTGGAAATTTAGACGGTGGAGCAGGTATTTGTTTGGGTAACTCGCTCGAAGTAACGATAGAATTCTCAGTAGTGGACAGGTCATCTAAACCATAAATTATAGTTAATTTATTCTTCTTCTTAGCGTCGTTCTTTGAAATATATTTTCGATATTTGCGTTTCGCATTAATCTTATCGTGATGAAATTTCCAATCAGTTTGCTTTTGCAGAGGATGTGTCGCTCTGAGAAATTCTACAAGGTCGTTGCTAGAAGTTGTTTTCGAGATCACGTCTTTTCGAAAAGAACCGCTGCGGCCTCGTAAGTTTACATAAACCTTTGGTCTGTTGTCCTTTAAATAATAAAGCTTCTCATCAACAGCTTGAAACTTCGGTGGACTTATTAGAACATGCTTGTCCTCGTTTGTGTTTGCTTTGAAGCTTGGACTTATGCCAACGTCTCTCACGCCGAAAATTGAGTGAGATATCACTTCTGGATTTGGATAACTTTCATTGCCAACTTGTCCGGATTGTTTCAGCATTGCGTGTATGATATTTTGAAGGTTCGTCGCATCCATTTCATCTGGGCTTTGAAGTTCAATCTCTACAAGACTGAAAAATGAAAGATAGCTTAGAAAGAGAAATAAATCATAAATTAATTCATGATTTCTAGTAAATTCAGTAAACATAGTAAATATAGAATGATATCAAACTGTTTCATTATTAAAATTATAATGAAATTTGATGCTTTTAACAAAATACCATGCATTTACTGTGCATTGATTGTATATAAAGACATACAGAAATTAATAAAGATTAACAAAGACAGGCATCAAGTTAATATAATCAAGTTGTAATAGTTATACATGTTCCAAATTAATATAATATAACTACAATCACATGATTTGACTACTTGCATATGATTTATATTTTCGTGCCTCTAAATTTAAATTTTCCTATCTTTATCTATGTAGCAAAAATATGTTCTTCATCTACGTAGCAAAAATATATTAAGTTTACTTTCATTTTTGTAGTGGGTGAGTCATCTCAATTCAGATTAAAAACTGAAATGTTTTCTAAATTTCCATTAATTATGGCCAAAAAAAGTTTTAGGCAAAAGTTGAATGGTTTTTTAAAAGTGAAATCGTTTATTTTTTAATGCACTAATCGATTTAGCTAAAAAAGCAAGATTTATATTGGGAAACGATTCAAGAAATAATTTAATTAAAATATTGCAGTGTGATACTTGTTCAAAGTCGAATTTCTCTATTAAATTTCATGCTTTTTAGACATTAGATGATGTCTTCTTTCTTATCTTTTATTTTGAAACAATAATTATTTCAACGATAATTCTTTCTTCATTTCATCATACCTTATTGAAAGAAGTGGCATTATAATTCAAACAGGACTCTGATTTAATTTTCAATCTAATTCTGATCTTGTCACAAAAAGTCATAGACAATATTAACTACATATAAATTCCAAGAGGATATTTGTAAAATTAATAGATAATGCTAAGTAGTATAACTATTAAAAGTAAATGAAAGCCTTATTCTGTAAAAAAAAAAAAAATACCTAGATAATTGAAAATAATGATATCTAGGTAACTTCAAAATATCTTAAAATATATCTATTTTATATTTGAGAGTTTAAATAAAGATACGTGTTTCTAGTCACATTCTAAAAATTTTTATAAATTTCTTGAAATGTCCAATATTTATTAGAAATAAACATAGAACTTGAATGACGCAAATATCTTTTGTTTTGCTATTACTCTAGTATGTTATTTATGCTTACTTTGCAAAAACTTACTTTTATTATTTTTCCATTATAAAAATAATAAAAATATCAATTTTTTAATCGAATCAGCTGTTTTATAGAATACATATAATACATATATTTATATATATTTATATATACATATATTTATATGGTAATACATATATATTTATATGCAGGATATTCCATCCAAGTTTATCACCTCAAATATCTTGGTTGTTTTTAAAGATATGAAAAAAATTTATTAAAGGAAGTCATTCAATACAAAGGGAAATATAATATAATATGATTTTTTTAAAGTAATGATTTTTTTTTTTATAAGTGAAAGGATTTCAAGAATTTCAGAGTCACTTCGACTTTTCTGAATAGAATATGTTTTTTCATCCGTTGATAGGTTGATTGTTAAGATGATCGACAATACTTTTTAGAATTAAAGGATTAAATAAAGGATTAAATAAATTAAATAAAATAAATAGATTAGAATAAAGGATTAAAAAATTAAAGATAATAAAGGATTAAAGAATTAAAATAGAAAATTACAAAACTAATAGATTAAAATTAAATGTTATGGTGTAATATATTTCAAATTATTCAAATCATTCCTATAGAAAATTATATAAAACATCTCATGATGAATTTGAAAAAAGTATTAATCTATATGTTGAAAAATTATTAGTTTATTTCAACCTTAATTCTATAAGATTTATCATATAAATGAAGAGGAAACATAATGGTTTGCCTTCTACTCCGTGTTTTTCATACATGAATTTTATAAAATCAAAATTAAAATTTTAATTTAGAATATCGGACTGTATCGGTTAATGAATGAAAAACGTACCATTCTATTTAAAAAAAAAAAATGGATTGAGATCCCTTCACTTATAAAAATATTATTACTGTCATATCATAGTTCCCTCTGTACTAAAACTTTAATTAATAAATTTTTTTCATATCTCCAAAAACAACGGAGATATTTGAAGATATTCGTCACAAAAGTGGTATAATTTACTTAATGTATTTATAATGTATTTTTAATGTAATGAATTCATATTTTTATAAAAAGTTAATGATACTTAGTTTTTCATTATTACTTGATATGTAGATAATTGAAAAAAAGAAAAATAAAAGCAACGAGATCATTTAATTATAAACACATAATCAATACCTGTAATCGTTGGTATTAGCTCTTTCCATCTCGGAATTTTGTACAAAGTTTGGCAATGATTTTCCCTCGTAAAATTTTTGTTCATTTCCCTTTCGATCAGGTTGTTGGATGTAATTTGGTGAAGAAGGTGGCCTTGGAAGAACCATTGCTAACAATGATCGCTGTATAAGCACAACGAACACTGTTGCCGTATAGTAATTTTCTGCCACTAACATTCTGGAATGCCATTTCACATTTTAAAACATAATCTGTTTCCTTTTAGAAAAGATAATTATAGGTATGCTCCCGTTTATAAGTCATCAGTACTCATTTTGAACAAAATGATTATTACAACACTGATAACACTCTCGCATAATTTTGAGTTCAGTTTTATCATAGTCATCAAGTTTGCAGCAACGTTTCCAAGCGAAATTAATAATATGAATAGATATATATATCATTTGAATAATATATGTCTTATCAATATTGAAATTCAATGTCTTTGAAAACAGTCTAATGAGAAATTAATAATTGTATTGTGCCAATTATACGGAAATCATTTATTGAAAATTGTAGAAATTTACATTTAATAGGAATTAAGAAGAACGATATAATCACTGTCGTGTGGTTTTTGAGACGAAACTTTGTTTATTTAATAGGACAAAACGTGTTTCATATATATCCAAAACAAATTTTGAGGATTTAGAATTTTATATTTATATTAATAGAATAAAATTTATATATATATATATATATATATATAT